CCAGGAGGGTAAGGAATGGTGTCCCTAGTCTCTGTCTGTCAGAGGATGGAGATGGATGGCAGGAGAGAGATCACTGATCATTGCCTGTTAGGTTCACTCCCTCTGGGGCACCTGGCATTGGCCACTGTCGGTAGACAGGATACTGGGCTAGATGGACCTTTGGTCTGACCCGGTACGGCCTTTATGTTCTTATGTTCAGTGAAGATCTGGAAACGGGAAAACCCTCATGGATTGGTTAGAAGAAGAATTGCCTTTTCCTAACCATTCCAGTCAGTGCTAGGGACTGGTGCTGAGAGTCCTGGAAAGAGCAAAAAGAAGCCATCACTGCTGGCTTCTCTCGACAGTACAGGAGGGCATAACTCCAGGACTCAGGAGGTTGACTCAGTACTGGGCCCTCCACTGGTGCCGAGTGGTTTACCAGTACTGGAGGAATGATCTCCTGCACCGCTGGGGGCACTCGCGCCAATAAGCTTAGCAAGTCCCTTGCAGCTTGAAATGTCTCTGGCATGGATGGTACCATGAGTATCTCTGACCGGTGTGCAAGAGATTTAGATGGTGCCACAACCATGAAGACACCACTTCGGGCTTCAGACTTGACAGTGCCTGCCTCAGTGCAGGTGTCAATGGGTTGATTTAGCTGATGAATAAGTGGAGGAGTGCTTCGATTCTGACTGCATTCTACTCACTTTGTCCCCTTTCCTGGCAGACTTCGGGGCTGAAAAGCTGCCTCCCCCAGCAGTTTCTTCCTGGACACAGCAATTCAGTCTGTATCAGAGGCACACATCTTTCAGATTCTGATGTACTTAATACCCTCTCTGACCAAGAAGGTTCTGAAGGTGGTTTCAGAATGGCTTCCATCAAAAAAAACTTCAACCTGGCTTCTCGATCTTCCTTGGTCCTAGCATTGAAGTTCTTTCATCGATCCCAAATATGAGATTCATCTAAGCAACTAGAGTGTGGGTTCCTCACAGGCATGGACTTAGAGCATGCCAGGCAAGATACTGTCAAAGGCATTCTTCGGTAGTGATAATGAAACTCCAAACATGGGGTAAAAACTAAGACACTAAAACTAACTCAAACACTAACTGACCCTAATAACTAACTACATATATGAAAAAACCATGCTGAGAGCACTTGCTAAAGCAAGACCAACAGATTCCAACATTAGTCACAGGTGGTAAGAATGAAAGAGTGTGTGTGGGGGTGAATCATCTGTGCCCTTTATACCTACACACAGCAGTGTGCAGCAGCAGAAGGAGCTCAAGCTGCACTGACAGGTACTAGTGAGAGAAAATTTTCCAACAACTGTGGTTCGGGATGCACACACACCAAGAGTGGAATGCACACGTGCAATCAGTTGAAGAACGAAGTGGAGCTCCCACTCCCTCCTTAAAACTTTAGATCTCTAGTACACTGCGGGTGGGTGAGATCAGGAAAAGTTCAAATTATCCAAAGATATAAGTTAGCCAAGGAGAAGAAAGAGAGCCCTGATAGGACCAATGCCAGCATGCACGGAATGAAATCACTGTTGAGTTTTCCCACTTCTAGTGCAGGGTCAGATGAACAGAATACTTTCCTCTATTCCCACCCTTTCAGTTGTCAGGGCAGCCCCTCTGAGGAAGAAAAATCATTTGCATGCCTGATGGGAGATTTGGTCAAGAGTGGGTGGTGTACAGAAGAACACCAACGCTACTACTTCCCTCCCAGCAACACCAAAGACTTGGTGGGGAAGAGAGCAGAGCCAGCAGCTTAGGTGACGGTGGCAGGCAGCTATCATAAAACCTGGCAGCAGAAGCAGCAATGCCAGCACTGGACTTAGCTCCTTATCAGTGGTCCCTTGTCTGCTTTCAATATCTGTGGAGCCTAGGATTTCTTCACCTCTTTTCTGATGCTCAGCTGCCAAATGTAGGGGAGAAAAAGGCAGAGGATCGCCTTTTGCCCTGTAGATTTTCTGTCTGAAGCAATAGCACCTTCCTGCCTCCTCTCTTCAAACAGCAAGTGCTGCTTCCTTGCTGAGGGACTTCATTAGCAATTTCAGCAGGGAGGGGAGTGGGGAAGGGTCTTCCTAGAAACAGGAAGCAAGAGTGAATCAGGGCCATCTAAAAATTGGTTTCGGTCTTTAAAAGCACTTTTATTTACCTTAACCCTTATTTCGAAGAGTGTTAGTAAAAAACGGGATGACAGTTGTGCTTTGGGTCTACTCCTTTTTCAGTATTTGCTAAGTTGTTGGCCTAAATAAATCATGGGGCAATATGTAATTTTTTGCACAATATTTCCATCAATTTGAAATAGGATGTCTTTTACTTTTAAAATAAAGTTTAAAATTTAACTAGGTGTCTGTTTTATTTTCTCTATATCATTCATTACCTTGTATGTTGCTTTCTTTTGGAACTCCTACTACTCTTCAACTTTCCAAAGTAAATAGAACCTTTGAATAATAGTTGTTTCCCTATTCTTAGCCTTTTCTATTCAATAGAGTGTTTAACATTTGTTTTTAGATAAGAGGACCCAAACCTGAATGTCATCTCCTGTTAGACTCTACTATATATTACCTGACCAATACATTCTTACCTTGAAAAATGATTGCTTTATGTCTTGTCCCAATCTTTCTGACATTTTGCCCATGTTGTCTGACATTTTAGTCATCCCCTCTGCCAGGCTGTCAGGCAGGGACTTGACTGCATTTGAAACATTTCTCATAGAGTTACGCAGTGGATTTACAAATGTGTCCATCTGAAGGGGAAAACATTTACCACGATTGCATAACCTATGGAGGACACTAGTACAATCATCCAGTAAGAAAAAAGTCACACTGTTCTAGTGAATAAACTGATGTATAGTACATCTCTTACTTTGAATATAAAAATTCAATTGATACAAGCACTAGATTAAATATTTTTACTTCAGGATGTTCACTCAAACATACTGGAAACACAATCTAATGTGGACAAAAATTAATTGGCTATCAACGCTTAAAATTTTGGAACAATGTGATAAACACAGAATAAGGAATTTCACCAGCTGAAATCAGACATCAGACATGTTTTACTGAAAGGTCTTCAAGGTTCTGCCCCAAGACTTATTTGTAAAAAATAAATGCAGAATTCATTTTAACTATTATGTACATTTGAAATGTTTGGGAAATCTATACACAGTTGTTTGATACTTTTGTACTTATACTTTCTTAATATATGGAAAAGTTTCCCCGTGTGCATATCTAAACTATACTTTAAGCAACATTTCTATGTGTTGCCATGAAGTGCTGAAGTTTGTTTCTCACTGAGTTCAGAGGACATTTTAGCTTCATTCTCTGATCTATATTATAGTTTCCATTTCTTCACATCCCCACTCTGCCTACCCCAATCTAATCCTCATTTATTATTCCTTTGTCAATCTCAGCTTCATACCTTCATTCCTAGCACTCCCTTATGCTTTGAAGGGTTTTCAATTTTTTGCCCAATAATTGTCCTCCAAACTCACTTCTTCCCAAGCACTACCTCCCTTGTTCTCATCTCATCTCCTACCTGACTCACTGTCCCATGTCTTGCCTAAATAGCATCATGGTGATATGTTAAGTCTAACATGTTCAGCATTAGGCACACACATTTAAATTATTTTTAGTATAATATTTAATGGAGACTAATAAGTGTTCTGATATTTTCAATGTACACTTTTTTAAAGTACAGTGCAAGTAACAAAAGCACATCATCTAGTGTAATAGTCTACAAAAGGAAAAGATAAGGTTATGAAAGATCCAATACATTTGGAAAGCTGAACATTAAATCTTTATTCTTTTCTGGACATTACATAAAGCTGGATAATTCAGAATGATGTTTTGTAGTCAACTCTACAGATGTAAATTTTTAAAGAACACAGTTTAAATAACTGAAAAAGTAACTTTTAGAATAGTTTAAGATGTTATCCATGTCAGGTCACTGGAATATTGCAAATTAGGTCCTGGTTGTCATTCCCAAAAGCAGCTGCCCATGCAAAATGGGCAATTGTAAACTGAAGTATCTATTTGCAGACACACCAATTTCACAAACACAACTGGGTTTTGTGCAGGCTTAACAGTGGATGCACGATTTCGGTGCTTAACGCCGTGTATTCTCTGCTGGCTGAATGTGAAACAGCATTAACTGCAGCCTTAGCAGGTACACATATTATATATTTTGAACTGGAGCGTGGAAGTCATGATAGCAGCAGTCTTGTGTTGAGTTGTGATGGGTAGGAGATTGGGAAAGGAAAGGGAGAACGGGAATCTTTGATGGGAAGTTAACTTGTCAACAATAGAATTAAAAAGCCTTTTGTAGCACATACAACACTCACTCATTTCTTGGAAATTTGGTTTCCTTGACTTACAAATAAAAACATTTAAAAATGGCTAAGTTCTTAATTCTATACTGGTCTTATTTCCTGATATATTATTGTCACCTTCTGACAACACACATTAATACAATGCAAATTCAAAAATTGCTTGCACATTAAATAAAACACTCTGATTTATAACTGTCTGCAGTCAGTTACTGATATATTCAATTCATTTACTAAGTTATGGCACCAAATGCATCACTAAAATCTGCTAAATATTAAATGCCATTCTTACCTTTCGAGCAAAATCTCCTTTTCCTTTGCTATAAGCTTTATTCTCCAGAAAGTCATACACACAATGGGCTAAAGCTGGGGAAGCTTTCATCATTTCAGGATTTAACAACAACTAAGAAAGAAAAGATTAATTGTAAACTTTCAGCGTCTTCCAAAATACATATCATATTTAGAAAAAAAGTCATAATTTCATTTCATATGATAAAGGTTTTTAATACTGTATTCAGCAACCACATTTATATATTTGTACAAAGAAGTGGCAGTTTTGAATGCATTTTCTTCATTCTCTCTCTAAACATTACTTCAAGGTGAGTATTGTTACAGAGAGGGAAATAATCAAAATTAATTATGAAGTGCTTAAGAAGGATCTATCAGTTCCACACTATTTATAAAAGGCATCTTTTTTTGGTTATCTTGAAACTAGAGTCTAAAATCAGTAGTCACACTGTAATCAACACTTAGGAAAAATATTGAAATAAAATAAGTAACCATATATATTACAAATGCAGGTTGTTAGACAATCTAAACAGCTGTTAGATTTCATAGCATTTTGTTTACTCTCACCCCCTCTTAGAATTTTACTTAAGCCTGGACTACATTAACACTATAAGTTGATCTAAGGCGCACTAGTTAAGTTACGTAACTAAGGTAACTTAAGTCGACGTACCTTATATCGACTAACAGTGGTATCCACACTACAATATGTCGATGGGAGATGCTCTCCTGATGACAAAGCTTCTGCCTTTTGTTGAGGTGGATTATAGACATTGACAGGAGAGAGGTCTCCCATCGACTTAGCATGTCTCCACCAGACTCGCAAAATTGACTTTGCTGCATCAATAGCAGCAGCGCCGATTTAGCATGGTGGTAAAGACATGCCCTCTGAAACAAAAAAACTTCTTAGACAACTGTTCCCTGTTGAGCCAAAAATTTTTAGAGACCAGCCTTATCAATGAGTCACTTAGAAATGAGACAACTGAATTCAACATCAGAATAATGGAAGAAAAGAGTGGTTAAACACTTAAAAAAAAAATAGACCAAAAGACAGGAATATTGTTTCAGTCAAACTGAGTACAATTAACAGGACTACATCTTCGCTGCAGCTGGAAGTGTGATTTGCAGTCTTATGTAGCTGTACCAGACTATATTAAAGCTAGCTAGCTCACTAAAAATAGCAGCGAGGATAGGATGGCATGGACTTTCATGCAGGCAGGACAAGCAAGTATATACCCAGGGGAGTCAGGCAGGCTTGTGCAGCTTGCATTATCGTGTCCTCACTGATATTTTTAGCAAGATACCTAAAATAAAGGTAGCATGGGTACATCTACACAAGCTACAAATCACACCCCCAACTGCAGTGTAGATGTAGACTAAGTCTGAAAGTTGAGCTGGGAGTGAGGAAAATGAAGAAGGATGCTGAGCTAACAGTGAGAGGGGAAAATTTAACAACTAGAATAAAGTTTTACTGTTCTATTTATAGTATAAGAGGAGGGATACTCTTCCTTAAGCAGTAAACCACTTTCAGTCATTAGGATAAACTACTTCAGTTAATCCAACTCGAAACTGGGTTATTAACACCTTATAAAACTGAGCATCTGCATCCCCCCACTTATACTTCAATTATTTAAGTTCTGGTCACTGAAACACAGATGATCCGAGTTAAATTTAGCATTTATCTTCAGCTGTGACATTTACAACATACTTGTGTTGTTCCAAATCAGGGTATTTTATTAAGACAATCTCATGGTGACTTAATTAACATTTAGTAGAATTCACTGAATAGTTGATGGAGAACTATTAGACAGCCATCAGTAGGAAGGAAAATTTGAAACTAGACTAGTCAAGAACTTACCTGCAAATATGCATTTAAATCTTTTTTCCTCTTCTCTAAAAATTCTCTGTCCATGTTGTTAAATGTCTTTTTGCCAGGAAGCTTCAATATACTTGCTAGGTTTTCAAACTAGAAAAAAAAAGTTAGATTTTTTCAATAGATTGGAAGGCCAGAAGGACCCATTATATCATCTATTCTGAACTCCTGCATAACGTGTCAACTTGAAGCACCTGCTTATTTTTAAATTAGAACTGTACAAAATATTCACATAGAATAGATCATCAAATCTGCTCAAACAGAGCTTGTGTTTAGGAGTTAATATTTTGTGAATTAGTCAGAAAGAGCTAAAATATGGTTTGCACATTGGGAGCATCTGCAAACCCCTTCAAAGCGTCCTCCTGCCTCCTCTCCAAGTCAGCCAGCTTGCTGCCATTCTCCACAAGTCCTCAGAGGCCCTGCTTACCACTGTAGTCTTCTGGGGAAGTGGCCTCCTTCCTAGTACTGCTGCTTCCATTCTGTAACTGTCTGGGTCTATGCCAAGGTCTTTTGGGAGGTCACATAGTTGACCGCATACTGTATCTTTGGGGGAGCAACACCAGTTAGAGAAGTGAAACACTCCCAGACCTGAAAGTGACCACTGTCACATTAAATCCAGAGCAAGATAGGTATAACCATAACACACAGTACACTTGCAAAGGAATCCACGGTTTCTCTAGCATTCACATGCTAGGCAATCAAGTCTCAATTCTTAGCATGTGGATTCTGGGAATCAGAGTTACCCTTCGTTATCGCACTAAACCTCAGAGGCCATTATCTGCTCTTGGGCTTAGGGTAGCAGCACATATTGGTGAGGCTAAAGTGCCTTTCTGTCCCACTGCTTTATACGGAGAAGAGGTTTTTTTAAGACTGTTCCTGCCTCTCTCCTCCAGAGAGACCTTGTATTTTAGGGAGATAGTCTCTTCCCACGGCAATACCCTAGAATATTCAAGGTTGTAAAAACAGAACCTGAAGCCTCAAACAATGCTCTTCATGCTCAGCAAGCCCAGATTTTCTATTAGAAACATGTAAGAGACTGGTAGTAACCTGTGGCTTCTGAAGGGGTAAGTGGAATTTAGTTAAGAACCACCTGTGGGAGTGAGGGAATGACTGTTTTCAGGATGTGTGAACTCTAGAGTCCAATCAAACAGGGAAGGGTTGGTTTATTTCCAGTTCCTGCAAAGTGAACTCCAGGGTTTAGTCTGTGAAGACCACCGAACCCTACAAGGTTCCCATAGCTCTAAACTAATTACAATGTGTAGGAAGAGCTGTGTAGAAACATTTTCCCTTTTGGCTTTAAATCTATTTCACTCTAAAAATGTGTGTCACATAGGAAGACTACTAGAGAGGCAGACACAAAATACACCTCTACCCCGATATAACGCTGTCCTTGGGAGCCAAAAAATCTTACTGCGTTATAGGTGAAACCGCGTTATATCGAACTTGCTTTGATCCGCTGGAGTGCGCAGCCCTGCTCCCCCGAAGCGCTGCTTTATCGTGTTATATCCAAATTCGTGTTATATCGGGGTAGAGGTGTACCCTGTTAAAACTAGACTAATCAGAAGCCCTGGAAGTGGAAAATAGGCTATCAAGCATGGTTAGTTGGTTTCAGTGGCACTTCTCAGAATTTATTAAAACACTAACGTCTAGAAACTGGAAGCAACCCTATAGTATTTTCAAGATGCAGCACGAAACTCAGAAAACAAAAAATGCTAATAGAAGCTCAACCCAAAAAACACACTAAAAAGTAAATATCTACACTATCTTGTAGTCTGACAAACTATTTTAAATTAATATCAGAACTTTAAGCACTTTTTTAAAAACAAAGACATCTTTATAAATTTATCTCATGTACAGCAATTTTCTGATTCACCACTTAGTTACATTTCAAACAGACACCTAAACTATTTCTATTGGTCTAAGATGATGTTCTTATTAATCCACCCAGAAAAGCTGGTTGCAGTAGCAGAAGAATTTTGAGCTCCTTCTTCCTGTCTTACACAGCCAGCCATTACAAATCCTCTGCCCCTTGCTTGTAGGGTGGGGGTTGCTCAATCTGAAATCAATGCCACAAGCCAGCTTTGTGAAATTTGAAGAAAAATAAGAGTTACCAAACATCCCAACCCTCCTTTATGAAGGCACAAATACTTAACTCATTTCTGGGCTCTTATTTATAATAAAATATTGGGCCTAATTCAAAGCTACCACATGGAAGTGTAAAGTACCACGCCCTGAATCAGCTAAGACCATCGCACTACAGAGGAGATTAATTGTCACAGGATAATTAAAGCTTTACTTCTTCCTCGCTATTCAACCCCAGCTCTGGATGTTATTTGTTTTTAGAGAGTCTATTAATAATGTGGTGGTTCTTTCTGCTAACTAAAAATAAAATATAAAAAGGCAAAAGCCACAGGACTAGGTTTCCTATGTGTACAAGCTGTGCTTGTGAATCAGGATGCAGGGGGGCTGCAAGTCATTGGCTATGGCTCCCTGATCTAGCATTGGCAAGCCCCTGCACAAGTGAGAACACCTGAGGGGCTGCTTTAACTTATGCCACTGTTGCAAAGTCCTTTAAGAACCTTGCACTAGCGTAAGAGGATAGATGTAATAGAACTCTTGTAGTATACTCCCATATTGAAGAGCACAGAAGATCCATCAACATCATAGGTACTAACAAGTTACTTACCACATAATGGCATCTAAGATATCTCACTTTTTCCAAAGGTCTAAAATAGGAAATCTCACTGTGTGGTAATACATGGTAGTGTTGCTTTTTAAATCTGTAGATTCAAGATTTTAGATCGTTGGCGTTTATACCAACTTTAAAAGGTTAAAAAGGGGATTCAAAAGAAAGGCCACAGTAAGCAAATATTTATAGTTTATACAATTGGAAGATATGCAGATTAATGAAATACTCAGTGAAAGAGCAAGATTTGTTAGCTAACTTAAATACACAATAGCATTGAACAGAGTTTTACAGCCTGTTCTGTACACACTTCCATAATTACATTTTATGGGTATTTATCTGCAGCTTTGAGAAACTCAATTAAAAAATAAATGAAGAATTTATAAGTATCAATATTGTTGCTTTAAACTGTAGCCCAAACTATGGTGATCCAGAGCCTAAGGCAAAACCCACTGAAGTGAATGGAAAGGCTATCACTGACATCACAGGGCTTTTAATCTGTGTGTCTATATGTACAAACTACACTTTTCTAGAATACATTTTATCAGCATGGGGACAACATCAACTACACATCTTTACCCACTGCTGTAAGAAACCTAACACAGCTGTTTCAGCTTCATGGATTTCAGGGTGTGGTATGTCTTTTTTTTTTAAATAGATATTAATCCTGCAGAGAGGAAAGGGTGCAAAATTGATATACTGAAATATATTATTCTACATCCCCTGCTAGTCAGTGAGTCAGATGTCCAACTCTGATAATAGTTTTTATAATCTAAAAAAAATACGTACATATACAAATCTATGTACATATACAAATTATTAAATATAAATTGTACGAGTACAAGAACACTATATTAGGGATGTATATTAGGGATGTAAATAGTATGTAAAAAAGATAACAGTGTAACCAATGAAAATTCTATCAGTTAAAAGTTTAAACAGGGAACTAGAGGTGCGGGGGTGCTGCAGAACCCCCATGTTTTACGTGGGGTCCCAGCAGCCAGGACCCAGGCACGCGGGGCCAGCAGCTGAGTTTAATTGTTAACTGAAACCGATAAGCATCAAGCTTATCGGTTAACCAGTTAAACTTTTACATTCCTAGTGTGTATATATATGCTTACGCTTCAAGAAGTTGGCCATTTCCATTTTAAAATGTTATTTTGACCCTATAAAGGCTGACATGGCCACAGAGAACTCTCATTAGAGTATTCAAACCTATTTACACTTCTGTTACCAAAAAATAGAGTAAATGTATGCTACAGAGCAACAGTTTTGAGTAGTTAAAGGATTTATATAGTCAATAATCTCAACTGCTACTAAGATGTGGTTCAAAAGCATTTGACTCCTTTAAAAGCATTGTGTTGTTAACACTTATTCATGTGAGCAGGTTCTACTTTGTACCAGCTGGTGAATTACAAGTCTTTGCATTTTTTTCTTTTATTTTATGGGGGTTAAGAGTATGAGAATACAGGCAAAGCAATAAAAGGCAGATTGTCTAATAGTATATAGAACTGCCAACAGCTGTCCCCTTCCTAGACCTCACAGATCCTTAGCATTTCACTTAAAGACCTAAATGGCCCATTTCCCAAGCTCAGTTTTTATTTCTTAAGCTCTGTGACAAATGCAACAAATGAACTAAAGAGCTGTTCCATACTGACTACACTTCCACTGTGAACATTACTTAACTTTCTATAGAAAAATTATTAAAACACGTCAACCAAATAATTCTGAAGATAATACAATTTTTTTCATTATTCTTTGGTGGTTAATTCTAAAGACACCTATAAAAAGTATCTTTTTACTTGACCAAATACAAAAAAAGGCTTCAATCACGAATATACAAAAAACTATTTCCTTTTTAAAAATATGTAAGTATAAGGCTCAGTGCAAATCTTTCTTAACATTAATCATGAGAAAATGCAGTTATATATTACACAAGAGCACATAAATTCAAATAGAAATTCATTGTCTAATACAATTTTCAACAGTTTTCAATAGTCCTACTTGACGAACACTTGTTTTGCCTGACAACATATAATTATAAATTTATAATTAATTAATGGAGATATCCTATCTCCTAGAACTGGAAGGGACCTTGAAAGGTCATGGAGTCCAGCCCCCTGCCTTCACTAGCAGGACCAAATACTGATTTTGCCCCAGATCTCTAAGTGGCCCCCTCAAGGATTGAACTCACAACCCTGGGTTTAGCAGGCCAATGCTCAAACCACTGAGCTATCCCTCCCCCCTTATTGGGGGCATGGGTCTGGGGCTTGCTGCACTCCAGCGCTGTAGCCAGGAAGCAAGGTCTGGGGCCGCTCCACGCGGATCCCAGAGGCAGCGGCATAGCCCCACTCTGGCTCCTACGTGTAGGGGCAACCAGGGGGCTCCACTCTCCACACTGCCCCCGCATCTCCCATTGGCCCGGAACTGCAGCCAATAGGAGTTGCAGGGGCGGCGCCTGCAGATGGGGCAGCGCACAGAGCTGCCTGGCCATGGCTCCACATAGGAGCCAGAGTGGGGACATGGCCGCTGCTTCCACGAGCCGCTTGAGGTAAGCGCTGCCCAGAGCCTGCACTCCTGAGCCCCTCCTGGGCCCCAATCCCTTGCCCCAGCCCTGATCATTCTCCCACCCTCTGAACCCCTCAATCCGAGCTGTAGCACCCTCTTGGACCCCAAATCCCTCATCCTCAGGGCCCACACCCCCAGCCGGAGACTGCATCCCTTCCCATACTCCAACCCCACTCCGAACCCCTCGGTCCCAACTCAGAGCACCTTCCTACACCCTAAACTCCTCATCCCCAGCCCCACCCCAGAGCCTGCACCCCCAACTGGAGCGCTTACACCCCCTCCATACCCTACTCCTCCACCCCAGCCTTGAGCCCCCTCCTACACCCTGAACTCCTCATTTCTGACCGCACCCTCAAGCAGAGCCCGCACCCCCTCCCACAGCCCAACCCCAATTCTGTGAGCATTCACAGCCTGCCATACAATTTCTATTCCCGGATGTAGCCCTTTGGCCAAAAAATTTGCCCACCCCTGAATTAAGGCCACACAAGTGACAAAGTTATATCAACTTTTAGTGGCCAATTCTAAAACAACGTTACAGCTGCTAAGACACAATCATGCCTTTCAAAGATATAAACAGTCATAATATTAAACAGTCTCTATGGGATCAGTTACCTGTTCAGTTATCCTCATGTGGAAGTCATGGAAGTCACTGTAGCGACGATACGTTTTCCATCTCTCTTCACTAGTTGGATTTCTCCGATGTACAGTGATCGCATACAGTGCATATGTCTTGCCATGGTCATTGCATACTCCTGCCACAGCATATGGGTTATAGTCAGCATAGACTAGTTATTTAAAACAAAAATGAAGAGGGAAGAGAAACACAAACAAGGAGGAAGACGAAAAGGCACAAGAGACATGAAATGGAAACATCTGAAATGACAGACCTGGACACAAAAATGGATGCAAGCAATAAACCCTCTGTAGGTGGCATCCTCCAGAGAATCCCATATTGTGCAAGCATGAATCTTTAGCTTAGAAGAAAGTTATACAAGTTATATATATATATATATATATAACACACACACACATATATATATATATATATATATATATATATATATATATATATACACACACACACACACACACACACACACACACACACACACACACACACCTCAAGCTAAGGAGTCAAGTAG